ATTTAGCTGCATTGAGCACCGCTGTTCAATCAATCAATCAATCAACATTTCTTTGTATAGCACTGTCCAAAGTGCTTTACATCAGCTGTTGACACAACGAAGAACGGCGTGGAAGCAGCGACGCTCGGCCGTAGACAGTATGCGTGAAAGCTGCGAGGGTAAATATTAATGTTGTTGGAAAATTCTCGTAAAGCAACTTGTTTTAAGACAGAACTGTGTTGTTCAAACTTACTGCGGCCTTAACGTTAAAGGTAGCGTTATAACGCTATAACGCTGCGCTTGCTAGCTAGCATCATGCACCCATCGGTTGAATGTGGCCTGTATCTATTTCTCATTAGCTAGTTTTGTTTAACTAATAATGTTAATCGGGTAGTTTTTCTTTTATTATTATTTCGGCGCATTTGTATTTTTATTTATGTTTGCAAGTGATGCTCGTTTCAATGTGTAAAAGAAGTCAGTGGTGTGTGACCGTAACGTTACAGCTCGTGTGTTTGCTGGGGTTTCTCACCATCTTGTGTCTGTTTTTACCTTCAGCACTAAATACCAAGCAGAAGACAGATTCCACTCCACAGATTTAGGCTTCAGCTTGTTTTGAGGCTGTGCATCCTCACGATCCCCGGCCCACATCATCAACAAGTGATCAGGTTAGTGACACTACAGTTATAATATGTCAAGGACATTTTACCCCTACTCTATAACATTAAGTTTGGAGAGGCAGTGCTTTGTTTAGGGATGGGCATCGAGACCCAGTTCTAAAAGGACCCGGTTCCAAACTTTCTCAAAACCTGAAAATCAATTAACTTAGGTCCGGGTCCGAGCTTATCGATACTGCGATCGAGACTAGCGGGTCCTATAATGTAACGTTATGTCTCAGGAGTCAAATCTGATTTAACTTGAAACGCGATGAATAAGAAAACTAATGTTTGTCATTGAGGGCACCGAAACGCGGTATCAAACCGGCCTGGTGTAGGTTTATCATCGGGCTCCAGCTTCAGTTCCTACATGAGCACGTGCGCGTTACGTGCTTGATAACTGTCCTGCCCTGAACATATCTACACGCCAATACCAATTAATATTCATAGCGGCAAGTGCTATGTAGCTCCACATAGGGGACACAGGAAGTGACATATAGCACCTTGATGCTGCGTCGGAACCACGTAGCAAATTCACAGCCGCACCGGCAGAGCTCCAGAATATGCAACTCGGCCGGCTCACACCCAGACGCGCTACAAGCTGCTTGCAGCTTTAATTTTTATTTTATTTTTTTTTACTCACGGAGCCTCCGGCTGCAGCTGCTTCAGGTGTAGTCGGTGTGATCAGCTGGATGTGCAGCCTCTCTTTGCTGTTTGCTTCTTTACACTCTTTAGTGTAGTTTAGTGACTTGTTTAGCAGACTCCTTACTTGTTTTGAGATCTTTCAATTCAGTTTAATAATCAAAAGATAAAATAATTCTCGTTTACTTTCAATAAACGTAAGAAAACTTGAACCTAAATTTGTTTTCCACAGCTCATGTGGTCACTAAACTGTTTCTCTCCTCCTCTCTCATTTAAATACAAAAACTTTCAAGCTGTCGTCCTTCCTCTGAGGATGACCGAAGTAGGATGAGAAGTGATCTGATACAATTTCCCATGTGTTATTTGAAAAAAGAAATGGATCTCCTTGCTTGTCCATATCAACCATAAAATTATTTTAGGCTACCAATCAACTACTACGGCTTCAACAGTTGGTATTTTATGCAAGGTATCTAATGAAGTATCAGTATCACTTTAGGGTACTGGTGTCGTAAATTTTAAACGATACCCAACCAATCAGTGCAATTTAAATTCTCTTTGACTGCACAAAGTTGCAAGAGTACAGCTGGTGTTTATATTGCTAATATCTTGTGATGTAACGGTTTGTTTACACACAATAAACTTTGTTTCTCAAAATGTAATGTGTGAAATATTGGAACTTGCTCCTAATTTCCGTTCTTTGTTTCCTTTACAGATTCAAAGTTGAAGATCCACCTTCACACTCATCCATTGCATGTTTGACACCAACCTTCTTTTAAATCTCTTTTTGAATTAAACTGCCTTCGCTCTTCGTTCCTGGGCTCATTTTGTCTTTGTGATGTTAGTGAAATGGCTCTAGTTGTCTCTGGGGTACCAGTGTGAGCTGATACAGCAGGAGGTTTTTAGGTTTTCTAATTGTATCTTCACACTGCCTCTTCAGCTGCAAGACTTCCTAGTCCCAAGATATTATAACACTTTCCCATCCTGTGTCTGTAAAAGGAATGATGGGTCCAGTTTTCTCTACATGCACACAGACCCCTGTTTCTTTTATACATGTGATGTTAGCAAACCTGGATGAGTACAGGAGCAATCTGGTGGTTGGCATGATTATGTGACGTTGCTCATCATATTAAGATTGACAGGTGAAGTTTTCTAACAATACAATGGAACAGAAATTTGTGATAACTGATATATTATGTAAAAGATCACCAAAAACTTATGAGGGACAATGTTATGTTATAAATTATCATATAAAAAAGTAAGGATGACAGTCTACCTCTAAAGTACTCACATGTTGGTGTTTTATTAATCAGAATCAGCTAACGTTATACTGCCATGTAGAGTGTATGTGTAAGAGCTTATACATACAAGGAATTTGGTGCATAACAAACAAACCTATATAATGACAAGATATAAAAGTAACAGACTGTTTATGTGGCAGTTATTTACACGAAGTGCAAACATTGAAAGTTTAAGGTGAATAACAAAGCAGGGTGACAGTTAACTTGTGGTAAATGTATCCTGTGTTTCTGCAGTTTGAAGGGACAAGATGCAAAGAAGCCACACACAAAAGGCTGAGGACCAAATGTTTACATTCCATGATTACAACGTAAATCTATTTTTATTGAAAGTAAAGCGTAAACGCGAGTTTACTTAATACTTAATAATAACTTAAATCAACGTAGTTAACCTGCTGTCTCGGTCCCTTCGGCGCGTTATTTATTTCATGGGTTTTCTGCAGTCCGGCACTTTTCCAAGCACGCCATTGGACAATAACTACATGTACGTCACGTAAATCGGACCCCAGACATAACGGTCCGCTATTATTGCCGGGAAAAGTAAGGTGGATAAAGTTACTGATAAACAAAAAAATGGCAGAAGCACGAGTGGCAACAAATTTAGTTTAATTTGTTGAAAACCCTGAAGAAGTCCTCAACAACTGCCGTTGGCCCACCGCCTATTAAAGTCAAACTGTAGACCTGTTAAAGTTGAACAACACAATTCATAGTAGCAGATGAATGAACAGGCTACGTTCCAAGACAGTACTGATTGTTAAACGATTCTTAATAAGAAAATAAATGAAAGTAGTTGAAACATGATATCAGGTTAAACACAGATAGTAATAGGTAAGTGATCACAAAGAGATTAGTCAGGTCCAATGGCAAGGTTATACCTCTTTGGTCCTTTGGGGACCCTGTTGTTCCCTGAAGGGAATTTGGGAATAACTCAGTACTTGGACAGATTCAGTTTTGATTCAGTCCCTGGATTGAAAACCTGGTAGGATGGAGTTAACAGAAATGAAATAGGCTTCAGATTGATTTTGATTATAAGGGTAAAACATTTGATGACTAATATACTGTAGATTTAAATGATATACAAAACATGTATGGTTTAGTAGTTTACCAAAATACAAAATATTGTTTGGAAATGTTGTTTACATTTTTTAAATTAGGACATTTTCTTGCTGTCCCAAATTACCAAACGTGTTGTGGTAATTTGGGACAGCATGTTTCAGATATATTGGGACAGTGTTAAAAGGCTATTAAAATGAAATTTATCACTAGTGTGGATTCATAAAACCAGATATACAGAGGGACCACACATGTATGTCAACACAGAACCACCGAGATGTAACCTACAGGCAACTTTTAAGTAGATAGAGTAAGATTACTAATGATGCTAATCCCCCACATTGTCTGTAGAAGCCCTATCATTTGGTCAAATTAGCCTTTTCCAACAATCTTCTGACAATAAAGCAAATGTTTACTATGTTTAATGTAGCAGTTCTGTAACATATAATTAAGTCTAATCAAGAAGCATCGCTGATGCATGCAGACGTTTTGCTACTCACTTTGTTTAATCTGTTACTTTATTCTTATGATGAATTAAGGTCTGTTGCAGAATAGAATGGCAGATAACACAGAAATAAATAAAATAAACATGTCTGACAACATGTTGGAGTCTTTAATGATTTTAACATCTTAATCAATAATCTAGCCTGTTGACATTTGCTGATGTAACGAGATCACAAGACAGAATTACAAAAACTGTCCCAATATACCTGAATTCACCCTACGTGAATGGCCACTAGATGTGCGTTTTCAGTTGTTTAATGTAGACGGAGATCAACTCTGATACACAGTTAAAACGCTGGTGTGGACTGGGAGCATATTCGTTTTAAAACTCAGCTTTTATACAAAAACAGAGTAGTGTGGATGGGGCCTTAGTTTACGGCCTCTGTCCACCCAGAGGTCCTAACAGCCCTAGTTCAAGGAGAGACTACATATCTGGACAAGGTTAAATTATCATTTTAACAGTCATGAGTATTATCTTAACTTCACAGGAGGTGGTGGCTCGTCTGGTTGACTACATTGTGACCAGCAAAAAGTAACGAAGTACAAATACTTTGTTACTGTACATACATAGTTTTTTTTCCAGATTTGTACTGTACTTGAGTAGGCTACTTCAGGTTGTTGCAGCTTTTACTTTTACTTCACTAGATTTCTAAGCAAAATTTTTACTCCGATACGTTCTGCCCCAGACATCATTACTCACTACAAAAATAAAAGAAAGAAATGTATGCAGCACCTGAGTGGAGCAGCAGAGAAAATAAATATTCGACTGACATGGCACTAATCTGCGCCCAGCTGATGCGACATACGCAGTGATATCAGTCAGATCACTTTGGTGCAGAGCGTCTCACACTCTCGTGTCAAAGGTGAAGCGAGTGTTAATGTTTACTTTGATAAGAGGATGAAGAAGGACTATCCTTCTGGGCACATGAAGAGAAAAACTCAATGACAGGTAATTCCCCTGAACCTGTATTCAATTTTATATCTGTTATTTCCTTTATTCCCATCAGACATTCATCAGAAACTCAATCATAGGAGATGAGTATCGCTGGCCAACTACCGTTCCTTACTACCTGGAGGACAGTCTGGGTAAGACACGGTGTTTTGGAAACTCACAGTAGTTAGCGTGTTACCAAATTAGGTTGCTTTATCAATATTTATGTTCTTACACTTTGTAATGTGTAGAGATGAATGCAAAGGGAGTAATCCTGAAGGCATTTGACCAGTACAGACTGAAGACCTGCATTGACTTCACACCACGGAAAGGAGAGGAGAACTACATCTCTGTGTTCAAAGGGGAAGGGTGAGCAGATCTTCAAACTGCTGTGTTCAGTTCATGTAAACTGTATTTTTGAACAGGACAAATGTGTTGCGGAAACCAGGGACTGGAAACACAAGCGCAGGACACGTACAAGGTGGACTTTATTGTCAGTTTCACACGGGAATTGGGGAAAGTGGCGGTGGCAAGGCTAAACGGCGGATGCTGAGGGTTGGTGAGGCGGAGACCGGGAGGCAGACAGGAGACAGGAGAGGCGGTTGCGTGGCTGGAGATGAGGTCCTGGGGCAAAGAAAAACAAAGTTAGCTTCAAAGACACGGAAAGGCAGAAATACGAAGTTCTAGAATGAGATTAATCTTGAGCCGGAGTAGCTACCGCTACGGGTGGACAACAATCTGGCGACAAATGACTGGAGAACCGGAGAAGATGTACTGCAGGAAGGTGAGCTGATGACAGGCAGGTGTGTGGTCAGATGAGGAGTGATGAGCTGATTGCCAACAGGTGCGTGAGCCCGGAGCCAGAGGAGGTAGTCATGACGACACACACACACACACACAAGGACAGAGAGAGACAGATGGGGGGAAGGGGTAACACCAGGGATACGGCCAAGGCCGTAACAAAATGTAGGTCAGTACTGCATCCTGCAATGAGAAAGAGGTCGCTTGTATGACACGGTATCAATAGATGCAGCTCCCCTCAGCTCTACAAAACCTTTAGCAGTTTTCTGCTCGTCGTTGTGGTTTAAAGTACTTCAGTGTTACTCATTTGGTCTAGTCTCACTGCTTTCATCAACCCTGTTTTCATCCATACATACTGACTGACCTGTCCAGCACCAAAAGGCAGACACAGTTAGTCACTTGCATGGAACATCTTGCTTCCCCTCTCTGTAGATGCTCCTCCTATGTAGGCAACCAGCGTATGGGGAGGCAGCAGCTGTCCATTGGTGAACACTGTGACTCTCTAGGAACCGTTGAGCATGAGTTCCTGCACGCTCTGGGCTTCTGGCACGAGCAGTCCAGAGCCGACCGTGATGATTACGTCAACATCATGTGGGATCACATTGAACCTGGTGACACTGATTTGTGATACTTGTAATTACAGCTCATCACTTACATTAGTGTACACTCATGTAATAACTTTATAAAATAAATGACAAACTGTACAGAAACTACTCCTGCATTTTTCTCATTATCCATGCCCACCATCTAATTTTGTTTTACACAACAAAACTGACAGTTGCTTGCAATAAATAAAAAATAACAGCTGAATTCTTCCTGACATTCTTCTTCTGCCTTCCTCAGGTCACAAGCACAACTTCGAAAGCTACAATGACACGGTGTCCATGCTCTAGGTGTTCCCTATGACTACAGCTCTGTAATGCACTACGGAAAGACGTCCTTCAGCATTGATTCTGAGCCCACATCGTCACCAAGATCCCCCACTTCATTGATGTGATTGGTCAGAGGATGGGGTTCAGTGCTAGTGACCTAACCAAGCTCAACCGTCTCTACAACTGCAGTGAGTTCTGTCAGCCTGCCTTTGTCCACAAAGAATCAATGAGACAGGTTACCTTCATTACCATAGATGTTTGACATATTGTGAGGTACAAAAGGAAGCCTCTGGCAACACCTGCCATAATACTGTACAGTATACTGGAACTATAATAAAATAAAGTTAGACAGATTTGTCTCAGTACATCACCCAACAGT